CAGATTTCAAAAAACTTAATGGAAGCTACACCCAATCTACAACAAAAATTATGGAAAATATACAGGTCTCTTCACGGAAAAAAAGTATTGAATGCTAATATAAAAATACAATCTAATAGCACAAACTCAACACACAATCTCACAGCCTGCTGGACAATAGCTAATACATCTCTTAATCTACAAATCTCAAATCTAACTTGGCTGTCTAAAAGAAAAGCTTTGCTGACAGCACTACTAACTCTAATCACTGCAGTACTGTACACATGTGTACTAAACATTTCTACAGATAGAAAACAACTAGCTTATGACTTCACAAACATAGTTCAAACCCCCACGTACCTTGCCAATTAATTGCTATCTACAACCTTTGGAATTTACAAAGCAACTATAAAAGCAGCAATTACGAAGAAAGACTTAACAGTACAAATAACAACTACAAATACTATAATTAAACCAAACATTATAAGCACAACCATTGCTACTGAAATCAACATAAAGATGATACTGCACAACATTTACACTCCCAAACTAAACTATCACACATTTCCCCACAACCCAAGAAGATTACTAAGGCATCTGCAAAACACAAAAAACATAGTAGACTAGCACAACCTAAATAGAATACACCGATGGAATTTAGACCCAAAAGAGATCAACTGGAAGCTTACTTTCAACTTTATAAACTATTACAATAGTCCTCTAAGCCAATATACACATTCTACTTAAACCAAAATCAAAACCTTCAAACTAAAATTAATAACGGACGAACTTCCAACACTTCTTAATTTACATATTTGATATCCAGCAAAGTACAACAATCCCATATATCACAGATGTACACAAACAAATGAAGATAATCAACACTGGCTTATATGCACAACTAATACACACTTCATTGAAGAAATAGTCATACAAGCTCTCAACCGAACAATACAAAAATATCAAATAGAAATAAATACTACTAACTTTAGACAAAACTTTTTATAAAAATTTATATACAAGCTGCAACCAGCACCTCTCGGCATTATTACCAATGATATCATTATTAACAAAAACCCTCAAACAGACACCAAGGTAGCAAAAAATCCCACCTGCTATTTTCTTCACCACGTCGTTAAAGAGATCCAAAAAAAGATTTGGAAAGCAAGATGTACGGAACTCTCAAATCAATCAACCCAAAGCCTCCAGTCCCCAATTTCAACTATAAATAAACATCAACTCAAACACCCAGCTTACTACAAAATATATAAATATAACTACTGGCTCAATGACTTCATAACAACAAACACCTCTCCACTCAATATCCCATACATAGACTAATGAGGTTGTCGACCTATCTTAGCAAAAGCTTAGATTAAAAGTAAAGTAGCTTTAGCCTTTAATTCTATAGATTAGAAAACATAAAGTATTGTAATAACATTTGTAATATCATATGAATTCTAATAAAGGAACAGAGGCACGGTTTCGCTTTTAAAAAAAAAAAAAAAAAAAAATATTAAACTTTGATCTTTTACTACTAATAACTTGATATGCTGTAAATATATTACTTTAACTAATGTTTGATTTAATTAGTCAAATTTATATCTTAATATTATATTATTAAGTTATATTTGACCTTTATTAATTTATATTTTAGTAGTACAGTATATAATTAGGTGTATATTCTGAGTACAAAAGAAAAAGCATATTTCTAGTTAAGACATACCTTCTAAAAGTATGTTCAAAAATTTATTTGTGCCTACAACTTTATATATAATGAAGAATAAACAAAGAAAATATGATAAAAACTACATAATAAACAAAAATAAAGAAGATATATAAACACAACAACCAACTAGTCATGTGCAGCAAAAAAGGATCTTCTTTAGTATAGGTGGGTATATATAAATTATTACAAGATTATAATATATAAAACCTAACTAATTTGAGTTAATTTAAATTCTAATCTTAACTCTAACCCTAATAATTTATAAAATTACTTAATTTAGTTTTAAATAGTTAAGTTATATATATCATAATTGTATAATAATTATATATATTCATCTATACTAAAGATCAACCAAAGAATTAAAACAGTATAAAGTAAGAGAAATTAAATATACATAACTTGATTTAAAAAGAGAAACAACACAAATTATCAACAAGCAATATAGTAGAAAATTGACCTAGCTAAACATATTATATATGAGGAAATAAGTAGAACTATAAAGAATTTATATACAACAGAAAAAGCAAGATGAATAGTATATAACAAAAAAAAACAAGCTGTTGAATATATAAAGCCTAAACTAGAACTAAAATAATAGAATAAACTATGGAACGAAAAGAAAAAGAATAAGAGAAAACTTTAAGAGCTGAATTTTCTATTGGCAAAGACCAAATGAATTGGAAGAAAAGAAAGAAGCTTAAACATAAATGAATAAAATTTAATTATAATAGAATAGAATCAAAGCTAAATTAGATAGTAGAGTAGAACTAGATTATTACTGTAAAGAGGAGGAAAATGTTGAAGAGGTTAATTGTTGATGGAATGTTAAAAAAAAATTCTTTAAACTGAGGCCATTTTATTATGGCTTCACTGGCTAGCTTGGTGCAGCCCTCTGGTACGGGCAATGCCTTAACCGGTGCGGTAAACGCATTTGGGCACCCAGTAGGGCAGCTTAATGATGTCGGATCTACAGTTTAGATAGTTTAAATAGTTTAAATATATGTATGATATATATGCTTTGATCTAATAAAGAAACCGGCGAGGCTACCAATATTAAAAAAAAATATATATACAGTATATATATATATAATTTAAAACTTATTAAAAAAATTTTATTAAAAAAAACTATTTACATTGATTGCTGATTTCTATTGTTATTAAAAATATATAAAAATTTTATTTATTTTTACATCAATATACATATTTATTGAAAAAAACTACTTACTAAAAATATATAAAAATTTTATTTATTTTTTATATATTTATTAAAAAAACTATTTTACATTGATTGTTTATATATTTTTTATTATATGGTTATAATATGGTTATAATAGATTACCCGGATAATTAAGTTAATAATACTTGGTAGGTTTTTAAATTGGATACAATTTTTACACAAAATTTTAATCCGAAACAAAAAAAAATTCTCAGATTATATTTTAGAAGCATATAAACGGTTTGGATGAATGGAATCGCGTAAGATCGAGTGTTACACCAACTTTTATTACAATGTTTAATCCTTAATATAAAATAACCAAAAACAATATTTAGAAAACTTCACATGAGCAAGTATAGATAATAAAAAAAGAATCAGGTGTAACGATCGTGGCAATATAAAAAAATTAATATTTAATTTTATTTCCCTCATGCTGGTGCTTTTTTTAATATGTAAATAATTTTTATTAAAATAATTTTATCCCCATGATGTTATAGCCAATGATCTAACGATCAATCTGTAGTTTTTTTTTTCTTTTTCTTTTTAAAAAAATTTTTTAATATTCTACAAAAAAAAAAAAAAAAAAAAAAAAGGGAAAAAAAACAAAAAAAAAAAAAAGTTATATATGTATATATATATATAGATATTAACATAATAATAAAATAAAAAAAAGAATGAATTCTTATAAACCTTATTAACTATCTTACGTTTAGACATATGTAATTGTGGTACCAGCTTTCACGGTTTCCCATACCTTGACCATTCCTTTTAACATAATCTCTCGTAGCTTTTCTCTATTCCTCAAACCGTTGATTATAATAACAAGAATGAGAAACAACAAGAGCGTCTTTTGATAGGTCTTTGGTGTCCTAACCTTTTGCAAATAATTTAAATAGTTTAAGAAAAACTCAGCTATACGATTAATCGCTGTTGATGCTAGCGAAATATGTACATTCTCTGAAATATTTCTAAAACTATTTACTATGGATAATTTTGGACCAGAAGAGAAGGTATGACGGGTTGTGGTATTTGATGATGACGATGATGAACCGTTATGAGGATGCGATAAGACACTTTTGTGACCATTAACATCTTCTCTTCTCTGTCTTTCCTTTTTTGATTTAGTATGTTTAGGAGATGTTAACCTGTTGGACTTGACTTTTAATTTTACAAGTGCACGTTCATAAGCCTATTTTTAAATGAATGATAAATGAATGATAAATGAATGAAATTCAACAATTTAGCAATTTCAATTTATATATTCGATTATATATATTATACATAATATACAATATTATACAATATTATATTATTAATTTATAATAATCCTCTTCACCTGCTTGCAAGTATTATTTATGATAATATTTTCCGAAAGAAAGTTATTTGCAGCATTCCACTCTTTCATCTTTGGTAAAACGTGCAGCACATACAATTCTACAATCTTTTCATATGGCTTTAACGTAGAATCATTTCTTAAATCGATAATGGGAGTATTTGCCAACCACTCTTCTATTATTCTACGTGCAATCTTATAACATTTTTGGTTTAAACAAAGAAGTACACTGTCGAAAATTGAGTAATCCCGTTATAATTGTATAAATAATTAGAAAAAAAATAAATAAATGAATAAAGTAGGATTATAACGAAAAAAAACATTCTTACCCACCATGCAATAATCACCTCACCCGGAACATCCCCGTCTTCATTATCATATCCAGTTGTGACTACTCTGTTATAAACCTCATTACAACTGATCTCGGGTTGTTTTTCTAAGAATCTTTTAATCTCAGTGTCCTTAGCTACTATTTGCTTCCTTTCAGCTAACAGAGCCGCTATAAGATTTATATAAAGATTCCAAACTTTCATTTGTATGATTCTTGTAGAAGGACATTCAGAGACTAATGGGAGACTTGGGAGTTTAGAAATCGCAGCTTCACATGAAGAATAAGCAGAATCATAGTCTCTTAAAAAGAAAGCATTTCTTGCTTCTTGAAAGAATAGATTGAGAGCTTGAAAGTCTTCATGATTTGATTTATTTTTGAAAGTTTTGAAAGGATTTTCAGATATGATATCCTTCTTTTGTGCAAAATGTTCGGGAAAGTGTGGTGCCATTTTTAAAAACCGTCGAAAGTGCACACAGCTAAGTCATTTTCTCGTCAAACCTGTTGCATAGCATATTTATTATATATTAGTTATATATATATATATATATATATATTTATATAAGTTATTCTAATGGGCAGGTGATCTCACCATGTCATGTTACTATTCAATTAAAGTTTTAACTCGTTTCACAGCAGGGGAAACAATACTGCAATGATCAATTTGGTGTATTTTAATTCTAGAGAATAG